ACAACATCACCGCGAGCTCCAGATGAATTGATGAGCACTATTTTCTGCAATTGCAGGAACGGATGTGGTCCACGCTGCGGATGCAGAAAATCCGGGCTGCAATGCACAGCAGCTTGTGGCCAGTGCAATGGTCAGGGTTGCCTAAATGCGATTCCCGTTGAAATCAGCGAAGAACCCGAAGAAGAAAACATATGGGAAGAAATTTTAGAAGTTCGAGACCCCGGTGTACCCGATGACGAGCCAGGCGATAACGATGACATCAACATTGATTTTATGTGAATAAATATGCCTATGTATTCACCTGCCTACTTGTTTTATTTCTACTTTAAATCTAGTTTGAATAAATTATTAAAATATACGGTAAGTATTTCATGAGTTTAATATACAACGTATAGGTAAGTATTAATAAATCAATAAGCATATTGGATATTTATCAAAAATAGTAATAATTTAATAACAATAATAGTTATTATTAAAAATTATTAATTGTTAATGATGTTTTAATGATTTAATAGCTTTATGCAATGTATTATTCAAGCAGATTCACAGTTTGACCTTAATTATAGCATGTATGCGCACTCTGCGCCCTCTATCTCAAGAACGGTAACTCCTACGAAAAAATGTTAAATACAAAAGTGATGGCAAATTTAATTATCTACAACTTTCTCCTCTTACGGAAATGCGATTGGAGCTATAAAAACCGAGATAATCGCGAAAAACTGATTTTCGTGACCTTTGACCCCGAATAACTTACGACGCCGAAGGGTCTGACCCCGATAACTTTCACACAGCTCTTAGAACACCAAAATGAAGGTTTACTGAACTTTATGGCTTATATCCAAAAAATCCGAGGTTGACCCCTTTATTTGACTAATTTTCCTGTATTATTATACCGTTAACCGTTGTGTAACATCAGCTTCCTTCGGAATTCGATAAACATAGTACCAACAAAGTTAATATTAGTACATAGTACATTTGCGGAATTGCACATTCTTACTAGAGGCTCTGTGAAGTAGGCAAGCACACTTGAAGCACTAGACCTCGAGTATGGCCCATTCATTAGTGCTTCGTTAGTGCTTTCTAGTGCCTTATTAATTTTCTAGTCAACACCTAGTAGCATTAACTTAACCGAATTGTTTGTCCACTTCACACTAGCAAGCACTTTCGAAGCACTATCGTCGATATATGGTTCATTCGTTAGTGCTTCGTTAGTGCTTTTAAATTCTCCAATTAATTTTGCAGCAACACTTGTCATTCACGATTTATCGATATTTTTGTGAACTGCTTGCCAACTTCACACCAGCAAACACCCTGAAAGCACTATACTTGTGAGATGTCTCATTCTTTAGTGCTTCGGTAGTGCTTCCTAGTGCTTTAATTATTTTTGTGACTTTTACCACTTCTCTGTGAAGTTAGCATACACCCTGAAGACACTATATTTGTGAGGTGTCTCATTCTTTAGTGCTACATTAGGAATTCCTAGTGCTGTAGGTTTCAAGCCTTCGAAGATAAGTTATTAATGTTAGGGCCGGGTCAAGAGTAACACCGAGGTCAACAATTGTTGAAACAGAACACAAAGAGACATTACCTATCATATAATTGGACAGATGTGGCCTAGAGATTCGATGAAAACGCAGCATTTAGAAAAGTTGAGGCACATATCATTGTTGTGGCACCACTGTAGGACTTCATTTAGAGAAGATTGGAGAGTTATCGCATCTGAAGCGGACCTTACAATTGAATACAACTTAAGGTCATCTGCAAATAGTAACAATTTTGAATTTCTACAACAACTAGAAATATTAATAAAAATATTAAACAATAGCGGGCCTATATGTGACCCTTGCGGAATTCCTGAAGTTATTGGTATTGCGTAGGAAGTAAATTGCTTTATTTTAACTATTTGCTGACGCCCTGACAAATAATTAGTAAACAGCGGATTTTTTATGCCATAACTTGATAAGTTGGTGATTAACTCTATCGAACGCCTTTGTAAAATCCGTGTATATTGCATCAACTTGGTGACCGTTCTCTAACGCTTTTAAAACGTATTGTTGGTAAACTAGCAAGTTTGTACATGTAGATCTGCCTTTCGTAAAACCATGTTGCTTTTCAGTTATAACATTGCTAAATAAAGGGGTGATTTTATCAACTATAATATTTTCAAAGATTTTTGGAATTATATTTAAGATTGAAATTGGGCGATAGTTACGAATATCAGATTTGTCGCCTGATTTATGTATGGGTGTGACATAGCTCACTTTCCAGGTATCGGGAACGGAGCCGGTTGAAAGCGAATAATTAATTAATTAAAATTTTATCATCACCAAATCAAATTTAGTAGATGATTTAGGTCGATTTCTTTCCGCCATTTTGTTCCAATATGGCGGAATTGGCTGATTCCCGAATTTAACCGATATATTTATGAGTTACACCAACCCTTAAAGTTTGGTCGAAATCGGTTTATAATTACGAAAGTGTTTCTTGGAAGTAATATATACAGGGTGAGTTTTTTTCATTTTAAGATTGGGATACACATAGAGAATCGGTTAAATGAGGAAAGAGTTGTCGTTTAGAGCTTATGCAAGATATGGCTTTGTTTTTTGAAAAAATCCACAGTTTGTAATGTAATGAATTTTTTAAATGTAGAATCATTAGAAATACAACAAAATGACACGAATAAAAGCTTTACATTTTATAGCTTAACATGATGAATATACTAATTCCCTTCTCGATTTTACAGTTTTTGAGATATAATACAATTTTTCTTTTTTTTAAATGGTACTCATAGTTGGCTTTGACATTTTTAAAAAGGACAAATTCTTCTCTTTATAACGACATAAAGCTTGCTAAACATAGGTACTTTAATAAATAAACGCGCTGCGGGAATTTTTATATTATTGACAAGTAAATAAACAGAGTTTGCATACTTAACATATTTAAAGTCGAAAATTAATTATGAAAATTAATAATCACATTTGACATTCATGATCGATTGAATAGGTACACCATTAACGCGATGGAAAACAATACACAAACAAAACACTGCTTTTCATTGTTTTAGTTGGAAGATGACAGTTCTGTAAATACAATTTAAATTAAATTCTTGGGCCTTTCATTTACGTTGAAATTTTTTAAGTTAACTAAGTTGTCAGCCATGGTCGTAAACTGATTTGTGACATAATTTTATCGAAAAATCAAGGGTGCTTTTGAAATGTTCATTAATATTTGACCAATTGGCGTGGGGTTTGTTTCAGAGTCTAACCAATCAGATGATTTGTTAAGTGATTAAAGGATAGGTAGTTTTTTATCAGCGATAAATATGTGTGGAGGAATTTGTGAAATTTTTTGTCTTGTGTGTTGATGTGTTTCCCACATTGTGTGAAAGTGTATAAAGTTATAATTGTAAAAATCATGGTACTTTGTTTTGTAGAAAAAATCTCAATTAATCCTTATATTAAACCTAAATCCCTGTCACTAGAAGATGTCTAAAGCTTAAAGTTTGTACCAGGAAAATATCGATTTTGCTTTATTGGCTATTTTTGGTACATCCCTTTAGTATAAATTAGATCAGTTAGTATCAGTAATTAAATTTTCTGTTGAGTAGGGGTACACACCCGAGGGTACATCGTAATGGCAATTTTCAGAAAGGAAAGCATTGTTGACGGATGATTATGTAAATTTCGGAGTAAACATTTTTCGTGTCGCAGATTGCGGAAGGGAACGATCAATCATTCCACATTTTTCATAATGGTGGCTTTTGAATGCAGAATAGGTTCCTGTTTCCGTCGACTACTGAACATCTTGGCAAATTGACATGCGACTTTAAAAAAAACAGTATAGGTATTCAGTTCATAATGGAATTTTCTCCGGCGGACGGGTGCATATTTCCATTTATTACTGCAAATTGGGGGTGGGTCACTATTATAATTTCGTTTTCTTTGTTTGCGCAGTCCAGTTCTTAAGTGAAATATCAAATTAAACCAGTTTTTTTTAAACGTGTGGGAGCTTGAAATCACAATACGTTAAAAGCGATTAATACAAATTTTAATTGGCGATCTACTTAATTAAATTCTATAGAGTATTGTTCTCATAATAGCTTTAGGAAGTGGTAGGCCCTAGTGAGTCGGAGATATAGGAGATAATCTTATCTCAGCAGGGTTTTTGTTGCAAAAAAATAGGCGACAAAAAGTTACGCCGCTTTGAGAACACCAGTCCACATTATAGAAATATAATTCAGCATAATTCCCGTGTGTGGGATCTTTCAGGACAGTCTGGTTTTTCCTAATTGGCTTTAAAAGAAAAATGGTTGACTTAATTATTAGTCATATTGAAAAAGGCGTCAATTAATGAATGAAAAAGTAGGGGGGGGGGGAGAGATTAATCTGTAAGAACCATTTTACGGCATTCGGTTCTAGGCCGCTGGGGTATTCACTGCGTGGTTCTACTTCACAGTTTTGATTTTACAAGAGAGACCGTTGCTCAATTACGTTAGACGAAATTGGGTTGGTGCGGTACATTTCGTCCGAGCTTACCAGACTGAAGGTTTCTATTTTTTCGGGAATTGATTTGAAATTTTAATTTTTCGCGAGTTTTCCGCGTATTAAGAAGATGCGATGGAGTCTTTAACTACGCGAGTACTGTGGTCGAGCATATGGATCGGCGCGTATTCACGACCCGGGTTAGCGTGTAGTACAGAGTTTAGTAATTAGGAAGCCAGAAGACTACTCAGTAACTCCAATCGGGGAATAGATTGAGTCTATGAGAGCACTTCTCTGAAAAAGAACAGCTTGTACGCAAGCTAGGATTAAAAAAAGAAGGGATAAATAAAGATAAAAAGATACATGGTGTGACCTCTAATGACAAAAGAAGGAACTAAGGTAAATGAAACACTCAAACTAACTGCATACATCTATACTATACCGACAGAGGACAGAGGCGTAACGGTTACTAAACAACTTTGGAAGGCTCTTAATTTTTATAATGAATAAATTATAAACTTTTGCAAAAGATTTATTCGCTATTTAACGATTAAGATACAGTTTTTGTATATAAATTTTTTACTATTTCTCTTACGTTAACAAAATTCGCATTATTAATAGATAGGAATACTTTAACTCTAATCATTATCTAAAATTTATTGTCAGCTTCACCTGACCTTACAATGCTATCCGCAATCGCGGTTTTTTTACAACTATATCAAACGCTGTTTTCTTTAAACGAAAGGAACTTTTTTCACAAAAATATCAGAGAAATTATTCTGAAAGTTTCGGCATGATATGAAAGGTATGCCCAAGTTTTTTCCCTTAAGATTGTCAAACTAATATCCTAATACCCTAAAGTGATCACATGAAGTCGGCCGCTGTAGTTAAAGCCGATCGAAATTGTTGGGTCTATATGAACGCCGCTGGTGCTGGCAGTGTTGTCATTTTTATTGCATGCTCATTTTAGTTTAAATGATATGCGTCCGAAAAGCTACGGTCTACGTTAGTAAGAATATAAATGTTCGCTCTTTAATCTTCCTTAATATGTCTATACATCTCAGTCCGAAGCCAAAACCCTTACAGCCATTTTGTTGTTGGAGTAAACCTGCTGTAGTCGTTGTAGCTGCGCGTGCTTTGAGCTTTATAAAAAATATAGATAATACCCGTTATTGGGAAGATTTCTAAGAACGAAATTCTCTATTGTAAGCAATAACAACCTTTGTTTTGGGCCAGAACTGTCCCTGCCTTGAACAAAACAGCATAGACTCTAAACAGGTACCTCTCTATAACAAATATAAATCTAAAACCTTAAACGTTTAAAATTTTGGTCCTCCCATATAAAATGGTATAAAATCCTAAGTGTCCAATTCTGATCGGTACGTTAAAGGAGAGCGTTAGGAAACGTCACACTGTCGTCACCCTATCAACCTCAACGTATCGAACAGAATTGTCACTGTGTCAGCAAATCACACCCTTTTCGTCAATAATCGCCGTATCCGAGGACAAACTTTTCAGTCGCGTCTGCAAAAAGGAGCGCGGCCGTCTTCTGCATCTCTTCCAGGCGATCGCGCACGTTGCAACGGCCGAAAGCAAAATCGCCAGCGCTACTAAAAATAAGTAGAGCGGAGGCAACTGAAACAGAAGTGAACAATGAGTAAGTGCCTCGTCGATTCCTGATGGGCAGTCTTCCACGCCGTTGCACCACACGCTGGCGTTGATGCACGCGTCTAACTCGGGGCATCGATACTGGCACTCGTCCGCCTTCACCCATAAAAGCCCCAAACCGTTCGGCGGCACTATCCTCCTGAAATAAAAGCAAAACGATTATTACTCCCCCTTTCGAAGTGCACCGAACGCTTAATCGCGCGACATTAAAAGCACGTCGCGTGATTGCGGCGGCGGCGATCTAATTTTTTATTAAAAAGTCACCTCCCCAGCCGAGCGTAAACTGAACTTTATGATGGCGCGATTAAATCTGATTACCAGCCGATTGTGACGTCACGTTAGTTGAATAATGGATTAACTATACCTGCGTATTTTTTATGCTGCTCATTTCACCATTAATGCAATAGTAGTAAACAAAGGGCGCTACTAAAAATACAACGTACAATAGCGAATAAAACTCTAGCCGTCTACGTCAAGTGGCGCCCAACGTGGGGCGTTCGCAGATAGTATTTACAGAATGACCGACGACGAAGCGCTTTTGGGAAAGAGAATGTTACCGAAAACGACCTGGTGCTTATAGGTAGCGATGGGAGGAAGCCAACACTGTGCTGATCAGGTTTTTTTTGCAACTCGCCTTCCTCTTATTTGTCCATTTATCTTTACCTCATGTTGGTCACGTAGATTTTTGAGTTATTAACGCCCAGTTAGAAGCAGTTTCTTTGGTGGAAAACTAGAGATATTGAACGTAACAGGAATCGCTAGCTTCCGACTGAAAAATCTCTTACAGCCGGCTGGGTGGACGAGCAAAGAAAATTCGCCGTAATGATACGAAGAATTTTATAGGGGAATTTTTACCACTCGGTTCGTATTCGGAAACCAGACTTTTGATCCGGCTCATATTCAACAGCACTGATCCTTAAACTCGTAGAAATCGATTGGCGAAGGTTTAACATCGCTGGCTCTTTCTGTTCTCGAGTTAGACGGGGAACAGACAGACGGACAAAACTTCACATAAGGGGAATTTTATTTCTTTCCAAAAATTGCCCTAAAAAGACAGCTAAGAAAATTTTCTTACATACCGACAAAATACAGGGCGTTTCTTAATAACATGCTAATATTTAAAGGGGCACTTTTTGGGCCCATTTTAAGAAAAAAATTTCCTACGTATGTCCAAAACGTCTTAATTTTTGAGATACAGGGTGTTAAAGTTTTAAGAAAAACACCTTTAATGTCATTTTCATACCAGTTTGAATATTTTTATGAAATTTGGTATACAGCGTATATGCATGAAAGATCATTTTTTACCTAAAAAACTTTCCAACAGTGGCGTCCGTACTAGACTCAGACTAGATATTTGTGAAGCAAAAAGTGGTACGCCACTGCTTTCTCTTAAAATAAAAGTTATGTTTAGATTCAATTTAGCACAAATTAGTTTTCGCATACAAAAATTAAATTCGTTTATTTGTAATTTGGTAGTAATAAGAATTAAAAACGATCTAGTAGGTAATAAGCAGATTTTGTTTTGTTTTGCAAACATAAACACTTTTGACAGTTCTCTACCTCGCCTAGTTGTCAAAATCACGCTTGAAAATGACAATAGAAAAATTGATGTTTTTCTTAAAACTTTATCACCCCGTATCTCAAAAGTGAAGACTTTTTTGACATACGTTCATAGACAGTTTTTTTTCTTAAAATGAGCCCAAAAAATATTAGCATGTTATTAAGAAACACCCTGTGTAGCACCCAAGTAGATTAATTTCTTAAGAGAAGTTTCTGTAAAGGAAGAAGCTCCCTTAAAGTGGTTGATACAAAAAATTCTACCTGGAAGTAGTCGTAAAATTCTCTGACACGGTTTAGTCCAAAGACCATATGCCCTGCCATATGCCCATTAAAAAAAAACTTGCGAAAATTCTCTCAAAGAACAGTGTATCTCAGCTGTTTTTAAAGGTAGAGACTTTTTGGGACGTTATCATATCTTATCTTACTACTCATGAAACATAGAACAATTTTTACGTACAATCCAGTGGTATAGTAAGAAAAAATTTAGGATCACCGTTTCTGAGATTTGACACAAATTTCGTATTTTTTAAATGCAACACTGTACATCTTACGTCAATTTTTCTTGTTCCTGATGTATTTTAGCCACGGACCAAAAATAAAATCCTTATTTTTTACGGATTTTAAACAGGATGGCCATGGAGCGTCTCAGAAACGGTGGTACAAAAATTTTTTTAACTACGCCACTGGATTCTACGTAAAAATATCTGAAATAGGCACCTTTTTTCTGTCTTACATGGATAGTAAAATGTGATAACGTCCCAAAAAGTCAAACTTTTCGTTTTCACCCTGGATCTCAGAAACAAACGTAGCTAGATTGATTCTGTTTGTTCGAAAAAAGGAAATTTTTGATTGACCTTCGCCAAATACTTATCATTTTCTTAAAATTTCAAATGGCACCCCTATAAAAAATTATAGCTTTGGATAGCCAAAACTACAAAATTTCTACTGATAGCAAGACACCTGGGTGCCGAAGATCGTGTTAGGTTTTTGTTCCAAACGTTTACTTTCTTGTGTGATTAAACGAACGTGTACAATGGTTCCGAGTTTTCTGATACTTATTTCGGTGGGTGCCCTACACCAGTGGCACCACCTCTACACCTCGACAACCCGAAGTTTCGGGAATTATAAAGAGCTAAGTGCAAACTATTATGAATTCAATTCAATTAATCATTGCTAAATGAAAAGAAATTACGTTTATTAACTTCATGAATAGTGTACAGTGTGCCCGAGTCTGCAACTGCAGTTTTTAAAGATAGAGACATGGGGTTATTATTTTACGTTTGAACTTTTGAGTGAGCGGGGTTTCAGTCAAGGCTGCTCTACCAATCCAACCCACTATACATTTGTAACTATCCATGCTCGAACCAGGGACCCTTAGTACCATAGTCGCGCTTCAACGTCACTGCACCACACAGGCTGGCTTATAGAGAATTATTCGGAAAAAAATTAATAATTTGGCAACTTTGCAAATTTGAGGTTATGTGCAAAAGTGTAGATATAAAAGATATTCATTTTTTAATTCCTTTTTTTACTTCGAACATCTTCCTCTAAAATTAATAGTTTTGTCACAAATTGCAAAATACCACTTTCCACCCCCTTTTAACCCCCGATTTCGCCCGCGGACAAATTCAGTTGTTTTAATTATTTTTTCCCAATTTCTAATCATTTCTACTGCATGAAAATCCCGCGGTGGATCGGGAACTAATTTTTCACGTCTGCACAATTTTGGAAATGTACGAAGTTTTGGAAATATTGAGTATGAAAAATTTTCCTTTATTCTATGACGAGATTTGGGAAATAAAGAAATATGAAAATAAACGACAAAAAATTTTCCGTCGACTCTGAGAATAAACCCTAAAAGTCGAACCATTCAATTTTCATTAAATTGACTTCCGTCGAAATTCCCAATTAACTTTAGATTCAGTGACCACGACAACGGAGAGAATGAAGTTAGGTGCAATAATTGCTGAATTATTTTCACATAATACAGATGGCATCAGGAAGGGAGGAAAGCAGAAAAAAAATAATTTCTCCGCGCTACATTAAATTGATTTATCTCGATTTCGCGCCTTCGTATTATGGTCATTTGTAAATCCGGTCACGGAACGAAATATATACTTTTCTAAAGGGGATAGCCTAGTGGGGTGATTTATTTCTTTGTAATATTGGACTTACCTTCGCGCTAGTTCCAGCCAGGAGACCGCGTACGAGCCGGATTCCTTTCCCAGAAACTCAACGGCGATGGTCTTGGAAAGCTCGTTTCCCAAATAGTCGATTTCGACTTTATCGACCGGCAACGGTCTCGGTCCATTAACGCTATCGGTTTGCCAT